GAAGTGCAAAAGGAAGGCAAACGTGAGATTTTTCACTAAATGAGACAGTTACAGCTGCTTCACAACCACGTCCAATATAGTTTGAAACTGCCCACATCCTCTTCTCCAATGGATTTGGCTAGATGGGTTGGACACAGAATGCTTTGTCTGTGCTGGAAAGAAGTATCTGGCATGAAGGATAACTGCTAGAAAGCTTAACCATGAGTATTGCTACCAGTAACACTACCAGTTGCCACTTGTCTGTCCCAACACCAAAACCTGCTGCTGAAGTAAAAAGCAGTTTACCAAATTCCTGAAATATCTTCATTTGTAGGTGACAAGCGGGTAACTGAGAACCTGGGACTTTCTGCACTGCACACCCTCTTCCTACGGGAACACAACCGCCTGGTTACAGAGCTGAGGAAGTTAAATCCTCACTGGGATGGAGAAAAGCTTTACCAAGAAGGTCGAAAGATTGTAGTTGCCATAAACCAGGTACCAGTCACTGTCATCCCTGTGCTTAGGGATGGGTTCTCCTCCAGGAAAAGAGGGAATGTCGTTCTTTGCAGATCTAGTGGAGTTATTTGTGGAAGTCAAAACTGAATAAGGATGGTCCATCTGAGGCAGCATGGGTATCCAGAGCTTTTTTTTTTATCCATTATTTTGCCCAATTATCAAATATTTCTTATATTAAATAATTTTAATGTATTATGCTGAATTCATGCCATCGTTACAGCTTTTTTTCCCCTGAAGATCTTAATGAACTCTGCTACTGGATGGAGAGTCTGTGTTCATGCTCTGCACTTGACTTTAGTATTTCTGCTACAGCTGCTGACAACTTGCTCTACTTTTGTGCTTTTCCAGATAATAACATACAGAGATTACCTCCCGCTCCTGCTGGCAGAGGAGACCAGCAAGTGGATCCCCTCATACAGTGGCTACAAGGAAAACGTGGATCCTAGAGTCTCAAATGTTTTTTCCCTGGCTTTTCGATTTGGTCATACATCAGTCCAGCCTTTTGTGTCCCGTTTGGATGATTGTTTTCAGCCTTTGGGTTCCTTCTCCCATGTCCCTCTTCATTTGACTTTTTGTGCTCCGTGGAGGATTATAGCAGAAGGTGAGAACGTGGGGCAGGCAGCAGTCCTGCTCTGCTCCTGAGACACACACACACTCAGGTGGAGGTCAGCTGGTAAAACACGTGAGCCTAGACTCCAAAAACTGCTTTAGTTCCATCTAACTGGCCTCACACAAATTACAGTGCCATTCAGCTTGGAAGGTGCTCGTGGCAGGTCTACCCAAGGGGCTGCAGACAAATAAGTGGTCTGCCAAGTGTGGGGCAGCAGGGTAGCCCTGCAGAATTGTCACCAAGCCCAGCCTAACTCTGGTTCTGCACTGCACTCAGGCAAAGGAGCCCTGCCAAAAACTATGTGCTCTTATAGTCCAACCATGGAACATTCCCAAGCACCAGCTCCTACAGAAGCAGCTACACTGGAGCAGGATTTGGCATCAGAACATACAGTTCTATAGCTTCTTCTGCAGAGTTTTTCAGCATTGCCTTCCTCAGTTCATTGCATATTTGCATTCACCTTCTGAACGTGTCAGAAAATGTCCAGAACATGTAATGGATTAAACCTTCTTCTTAGGTCTCCACACTCCTCTCAGCTCAACGAGACCCAACACTGAGTATGGCACAATCACTGACAAGCAGCTGCTTGTGCTGTTCCAGGAGGCACGATGCTGCCAAATGTCAGTCAACCAAAATTTAGGTCAATTTAAGATATTCTATCCCCTTGTAGTTAGTAGGCATGGCCAGAAGGTGATGCATCCTGTTTAGCTGAGCTAAAACAACATAATTGCTTCCTAAGTGGTGGACTTGAAAAGGAGTTGGGGGGGTCTTGCTTGTTATACAGCTGATATCTGCAGATATGACTCTTTCCAAGGAAGACAAATGTTTTCTCCCAAGATGAGTTATCTAAATAATTATGGAAAACATGTCAAAATACACACACGCAGCCAATTTTCCTGTGCTTCACTAATACTGTCTTCTTAAGGGCTCTGAAAAAGTCACAAACAAACAGACAGGAATTGATTCACTGAATGTAAGGTTTTAAAAAATATTTGTCATTTAATAGCTCATTATAAACAAGATCAGTTGCAAAACCTGAACCTTGGCAAGAAGCCCAGGTATCAGAATATTCTGAGGACTGACAGGCTAAGGAGCAGGTCTGCAAAAAGGGAACTTGGAGGTCCTGGTAACCAACAAGTGGATTTAGGGCTGCAGAAGGGAAGGCTGAGGGATGGGGAGAGAATCCAGTCACTAGTGGGAGGCCTCTTCCACTGGCATATACAGATATGTACATATGCACTAGCATATGTTCTGTAGATTCCATATGTTGAAATGGAAATGTGGAGCTAGGCAAACTCTGTGCATCCCAGAGAAGAAAGGACTTCTAATGCAGCACTGTTTCAACTGCACAAAATGGGCCATGAAAGCTGCACCTTGGTATCAAAAGTCTTTTCTTGACTTGCAATGAATGCAGGTGGCATTGACCCACTGATCCGAGGCATGGTCATTGATCATGCAAAACTGATGAAACAGAATCAGCTGCTTGTTGAGGAGCTCCAGAACCACCTTTTTGAACAGATAACAATAATGGGCCTGGATCTAGCAGCCCTGAACATGCAACGGGGAAGAGACCACGGCCTCCCAGGTAAGGAGACACAAGTACCCATCTCCTGTGAACAATACTCCTCCTACTTCTGTAGAAGGTCCACGAACATTAAGCTTCTTCCATACCAACAGGGAGAAGCAGTACCTTGATTTGAGGGTGAAGGATGGATAGGCAGGTGAGGTCAGGGATGAAAATATCTCTCTATTATAAAGAGCTTTTTTTCTGGGGGATATAAGACAAGGACAAAAGTCTTAGAAAGCACAGATGAGAGTTGAGATAATGTAAAAAAGAGGTGTAGAAGCAATGGTGTTGCCAAGAGGGAGCACGTGGAGTGCAGAAGGTACAGATGCAAACAACAAGTTCAGCTTTCACCTGGGCTAGACAGACCACCTATGCTTTGTTCTTTGCCCATCAATGCTTATTTTGTGTCTTCACACAACCCAGAGCCCTGAGCAGAAGTGGCTTGTATCCAGATGTGTGATTGCCCCCCAGCGCTGGAGAAGAACGAGTACTCTTGAGTTAAGCACAACCAAAAGCTGCTCTTTTCTAGGACTTGGATCCTAGAAATTTTGCCTCCCAAAACTGCAAGGACTGGTGCATTCACCCTCAGCACTAGGTAGCTCTAACTGGCAGGTGCAGTGAGCCTGTAGTCATGTCAAAGAGAACCCAAATTATTAGTTTAGCATGTGCATACAAAAAAGACTTTTGAGAACATGGCATTTGTTGTGCCTGTTGAGACAATAATGTCTTCCAGATCCTTTAATGCTGTGAGAAGATGCAGACATTGCTCATGGGTCAAGGGACCTGTTTATCTCCTGAGCCTAGGTGGGGAGGCAGAGGTCCTGACCAGCTGCTGCTCCTGCTTTTGCAGGTTACAATGCGTGGAGACGCTTCTGTGGGCTCTCCCAGCCTCAAAATGTAGATGAATTCTCTGAGGTGCTGGGCAATTCCAAACTGGCCAAGAAATTCATGGAATTGTATGGGACACCAGGCAATATTGACCTCTGGATTGGGGCAGTCGCAGAGCCCTTTGTTCCCCAAGGCAGAGTTGGACCCCTCCTGGCCTGCATCATAGGCACCCAGTTCAGGAACCTGCGTGATGGGGACAGGTAGGTAGCTCTGAGAGAAAACCTTCCCCTTGACATTTATTACGGGGAAAAAATGCTGACATTTTGTGTGACACACTAATCCAGCCCACCTCCAACATATCAGGGATCCCAGCAGGGCTCACACCTTGATTTCAGCCCCTTCAAAGGACTCTTTTTTGGCAGCCCATTCCTACAGACCCATGCAGTTGAGGAGCACCAGCTCCAGGACATGGATGATTTACAGTAGTCTCTGCCTGAGATGACATTTGCTCTCAGGGTAGCAAAGGGGAGGATTAGTCACTGGGTCCCAGCAGCCTGATGATGCTGCAAGGAAGAGGCAGGTTCTCTGCACTGGCAGATGAGTGGCAGAGTCCAGACCTGGCCACACTGGTGACACCTCTTTCCAAAAGGGTGTGCCTGCTGCCTGATGAATCAAGGTGGATCTGAGCAGAGACTCACCTTGGTCAGATTCCCATCTTGGCAAGTAAGCAGCACCAAACACCTTGAAGGAGATTATGTGATGCTTCTGAAAATATCATTGCAGATTCTGGTGGGAGAAACCAGGAGTTTTCACTCCACAGCAGCTGCAGGCACTGAGAAAAATCTCACTGTCGACGGTGATCTGTGACAATACTCGCATCAAAAAGATACCTCGGGATGTATTCAAGGTCAACAGTTATCCTGAGAACTTTGTTGACTGCCATGAGATCGACACGCTCGACCTTTCCCCCTGGAAAGAGGAGCCTGAGAGTGGCACAAAAGGTACGTGGTTGTCTGAGGTAAAAACAGTAAAACAGCACCTTCGTATGAGACATGTGGACACTGTGTCCTCCTACTGCTGTGCCCTGGGCATGGGGTCTCCTAGTGGATGATAATGTAGAGAGAAGAGAGACTTGCAGAAGATAGGTCTGACCTGAGCAGGGTGGACTGGGCTGGACCTTTTCCTTCTGGCAGCCCACTTATAGATGCTCACAATACCTGGGAATCACAGAATTATTAAGGTTGGAAAAGACCTCTAAGATCTTAAGTTCTACTGTCAACCCAACACTACCCTGACCACTGAACCATGTCCTGAAGTGCCACATCTACATGTTTTTTGAACCCCTCCAGGGATGGGGACTCCACCACCTCCCTGGGCAGCCTGGGCCAATGCCTCACCACTCCTTCAGTAAATAAATTCTTCCTAATAAGCAACCTAAACCTCCCTTGGCACAACTCCAGCCCATTTCCTCTTCTCCTATCAGTAGTTACTTGGGAGAATCACCTGCTCTTCTGTAAGGCACAGTCCACAAACCATCTCCATGCAGTTCCTATGCTGATTAACTGTGTATCTGAGACAGACATTTGCTCTTCATGTAAAGGCTAAATTATGGTGACCTCACCCTCACCCCAGCTGCTGCTTGCTTTCTCTCTAAACAATAAAGACTTCCTGATTTCTTTTATTAACTTTGTCTTATGGCCACTACAATTTGCTGAGCTGCTTCCTGTGGCTATTGTATCATCGGGAGGGGAGGAAGCTGAACTGTGTTTGCATAACCCAGAGACAGTGGGGTCCTGGGGTGTTAAAAAGCAACTGCTAAAGGTTTAACCTTTTCAAGTGCCAAGAAATTGCCCTCAAAGCACTCATCCAAAGGGCTGTCTGCTGTAAGGACACCAGAGGTACCTTTTGAGAAGGCTGAAAGCATGGTGGTGTCTCAGGGGTATAAGGGTAGATGGGTGACCTGATATTCAGTTCCCCATTCACTACTGACTATTTTGAGCTAATAAAAAATGGGTGGAGAAATCTCTCTCCTGGGAAGACTTTCTGCCTCTAAGGAGCTTTTTCTGCTTCATTGACAGTGTCTCCTCCTGCTCATCAGACCCACGTTGGAAACTCCTAATGATGACAGTAAGCTGTTGTTGAGAAACTGCTGCTTGGACATCCTGCTCAGACAACTGAACCTCAGAGCGTGATTTCCCAGAGGGCTCTCAAAACTATGTTTACTGTTTTATTTGTGATTTTATACTGTGATTTTTTATATCATGCATTTGTCAAAGCTTCCACTCTTGTAGGTCTTCTGATGGGCAATGACCTTCCGTTGTCTGTTGCCCTAAAAAACTGTTCTGAAGTGTACAAGACTTGTTTAGATGCTGGATGCTTTATAGAGTCAGAGAATTGTTGGGGTTGGAAAAGACCTTTAAGACCATTGAGTCCACTTATGACTCTATAAAGGCACAATCAAGGCAAACTCTTTGTCATCCTCATTTTACATCCTGAACGGGTGTAAAATCTGGAGGTTGGCATGCTTGCACTTCAAGATCAAACTCCTTATCCTTTGTACTTGCTCAGAAATTAGAAAATTCATGTAATCTTTATCAAAACTTTCCTTACCTCCTCCTCCTTTAGCACAAGAGCATAAACTTTTTAGGCTGTTTCTAATCAGCAGTGAGGTTTCAGTCTTCGAAGACACTAGAGCATGGCATCTGCATCTTGATGGCATCTCTAGATGTCTAGAGACACCTTTTATTTAAATCCTGTAGTGGACATATGTGGGTTTGGGTGCATGGGGCAGTAAAAAAATACACTGTATGTGCTCATCTACATTTGACATCAATTCTGGGATGTCAAACATGTCCAAAACAGTCTCTGGTTATGGTCAACAGCTAAACATATCAGCATGAATAAGTAAACCATAAGTAGGTTGGTATGTAAACCACAAACATTAGGGCTAAACATTAATCATCTGGCTGAGATGATCACTCTCAAGACCCTATTAAGTCAATAAATACCAAACATGTAAAAATCATATTACGTTTCCATCTCTCCTTGGCACAAAGGGGAGTGAAGGAGACTGAGACCAAGAAGGTGGCAGCCTGAGGTGGAGTCATGAGTGAAGCTTATGGCTGGAGTCTCTCAGATGAGGACTGATGAAGGAGATCCTTTGTAAAATCCCATGGCTACAACATCAGCATCTGTGCTTTGCCATGGGGGTTCTGCTAGCAAGTCATGCCCACCTCAGCCAGTGCTCCGTGCTGCCCACCCATAGGCCAGGGGCTCCACAGGAGATCCACTGGGCTGCCAGGACCCTGGGTGAGTGATGGACCTTGGGCACCATGCTGCCCATGAGCTCCTGGTGCATGGGAAGCTAAGCAAAAAAGAAACCACCAACCCCTGAAGACACATGTAAGGTCTTTAATTCCCCTCTCCCAAGGCTGCCTTGGCTTGCCCCTCTTGTGGCAGAGGTACCTCCCAAGTCCTCCCCACAGAGAGAGGCAGGAGACATTGTCCTCTCTTGAGTGTGCTTCCAGGGGAGTGTGGTAACCTTCAAACCCCCAGGCATGTTGGTCACAGGCTTGGGCTAAATGCCTCCTCCACCTTGTTGGTTTTGAACAGGAAAAGGTGATTGTAAGCATGCAGTGATGATCACAGGAAGGGTGCAGCTCAGCCCAGGGTCCAGCTGGAGAGAAGTTCTCAGGGTTACAATTAAATGCTCAGCTGCCCACTGTGTGTCTGTCCGTGCAGGTGACACAGAAGGAGCATGGCACCTGTTTCACCAGCTCCACTGACAAGCTTTTCATCCTGTGTGGGCGTTTTGCCTGTCTCTGGAATGTCAAGGCTGCAATCCATGGTCATCTCTGCTGCTAGACCTTGCTGTTGCACCTTCATCCCCTCAGGTGCTACACACAGAACTGGAGCTGGAAGGTAGGATCCCTAATGGGAAGCCCCGTTCATCATTCCTGATATCCTCTGGTAGGTGGCAAGCATGGAGTCATGGACCTGCTCAGTGAGCTTGGGAACATCATCGGGGCTCAGGCCAAGGGTCTCCACTTCTGGCATGATCTGGACGATGCTTTTTCCTGGAAGAGAGAGAGAGAGAGAGAGGAGGGTCAGAGAGGGAGAAGAAATTACATGAGTGATGTAGAAGAGCAAGAGAAAATACAGCAGAGGGGCCAGTGCAAACCAAGGAAGAAGGCAGAAGTGAAGGGAAAAGCTCTTTCACACACCAGCAGTGGTGTAGCAACCCTGTCACATCCCAGATACACACACCAAAAATCCCAAACCAGGCTTTTCCCATCCACAGAGACTGAAAAAGTCATAAATACAGCAAGAGGTGACTCTCTCCCCAGATCCACCCAATGCAAGGATTCATACAGAATCAGTTTTCACAGTGGAAGGAGCTCAGGGTCTGCCTAGAACATGGTGAAGAGGCTGAGCTGTCTGTAATACAACACAACCAAACTGGCCGTGCTCTGATCAAAGAATACCAAAATCAGAACTCCCTCCTTCCAGAAACGTGCTTTGGGATGAAAGACACTGCACCCAGGAGACCCTGTTTGGCCAAGGGGTGTCACACACCTCTTGGGAAGCACCTAAGCAACGGGCTGGTGCAACCAGGAGGAATATACTGTGGAGCTGTCATCATGCTCTTCTGCTCTTGCATCCAGTGGCCCTTGTTTTGGCCAGTGGAGACAAGATGCTGCCTGCACAGACACCCACCTGGGAGCATGGGGAGTGCCCGTGTTATTTTCTAACTTTCTTGCATGCCTTTACACGTGTGCCAGGGAATGAGATGCAGACGTGTGGTTAGCAGA